GTCTACGTCCTTCGTGTCAGGTGAAGTTCACCAGCGCCGTGAAGCTAACCGAAGGGGGCGCCGCGGGGCCGGAGTACGGCAGGGACGAGGAGGAGAATTTCTTCAAGCGGCTCGGTAAATGGAGGTCTGGCAGGAGGAATCCATCCAAGCTTCACCACACAGAAGAGAAAGATGGTAGACCTCCCCCACCCCGGGGTGCCCCTCCACCCTCGCCCACGCCCTCCCCCCATCGTCCTCTTGTCTCTCTTCTCTCTGTCCCCGCCTCTGTTTGTCCCGTGTGGTGTCGTGTCTTGCATCACCTCACAAGTCGTGGTCTGCCAGTTCTTCTTCCGTCCACCATTCTGTCCATGTCAGCTCCGCCGGATAGCTGCCCGCCCCCCACCCGTCAGCCTGAATGTGTTACTGCCAACCCATCGGATTTAGTTTTGATCATTATTCTGAATGACCAGCTTCAAAATAGCCTCCGGAAAGTACAACACTGCATTGATGGCAGTTGAAATATAAACAGTTGCATCCTCACATGTGGCTCCAGTGAGACGATGATCGCTCGCTGGACCAGTTTGTGCTGCTGCTAATTTTTTATCACAAAAGTAAACACACAATGTCGCCAAAGAAGACGTTGTTTGCTTTCTAAAGATTGGAAATTCAATGAATTATTTTCCTGATATTTGACATCAGCATTTAGAAAGCAGGGGTGTTCTCGCAACTGTTAATATATGGAGTTGCATTATGGGAATTGTAGTCTTGACTCATGCTAGTAACTACAAACAGGGTGCATCGACCTCTGCTCAAATGATACCCAGTCTTTTTTTTTCAACTCTCATAAGTCCTCGGATGTTATGGAAGTGTGCTATTAAACCACCGCTTTAAAAGACATGCATAACTAGAATTAAATCATATTATTTTATTTATTTATTTTATTTTCTTAGATAAATTTGTGACTTAGATAAACTAATGATCCACAAGGGAAATTGTTTTTTTTACCGCAGTAGCAAGCACACAAAATAAATAATTATATAAGAAAAGAAAAAAAAAAAGCAAACAGAATAAAAAGAACACAATGCAAATATATTCCATATGGACAATTTTACATTTGTTTTTCCAAGTAAAGAAAGACAAGCTAAAAATTAAAATAAATACTACTGTACAGTCATTATCCTTTAAAAAAA